ATATATTATATACTCCCAAGTTGGAATTTGACAGTAATGCTTGGGAGTATGACTCAAAATCCCTTTATAGATAATACTCATTCTAAATAGAGATTTTAGTGCTCCAATATAAGGTACAAGACAGATTCCTTTATACCGCTTCCTACTCTATTGTGAATGTGTCTGTGTATACAGTAGTCCCCCCTCATCTACAATTTTGCTCTCCATGGTTTCAGTTATCTGTGGTCAACCACGGTCTGAAAATATTAAATGGAAAAGTCCAGAAATAAAGAATTTATAAGTTTTAAATTGCACATCACTCCGAGTAGCATGATGAAATCTTGCACCGTCCCACCCCCTCTGGCCCTGGTGAACTATCCTTTTGTCCAGTGTGTACACGCGTATACGCTACCCGCCCCGTTAGTCACTTAGTATCCCTCTCGTTATCATATTGACTGTCCCGGTATCGCAGTGCTTGTGTTCAAGTAACCCTTATTTTACTTCATATTGGCCCCCAAGCTCAAGAGTAGTGATGCTGGCAGTTCTGATATGCCAAAGAAGCCGTAAAGTGCTTCCTTTAAGTGAAAAGGTGAAAGTTCTTAACTTAATAAGAAAAAAAAAAGATTATATGCTGAGGTTGCTAAAATCTACAGTAACTTTTATTATAGTATATTGTTATAATTGTTCTATTTTGTTATTAATTATTGTTGTTAATTTCTTACTGTGCCTAATTTATAAATTAAACTTTATCAGAGGTATGTATGTGTAGGAAAAAACATAGTACATATATATATAGGGTTTGATACTATCTATGATTTCAGGCAGCCACTGGGGGTCTTGGAATGTATGCCCATGGATAAGGGGGGACAACTGTATTCATTCATGTGGACTGAGTCTTACCACTAATTTCAAAGAATGATTTAGGACCTTTCACTGCCGACTTGAGTTAGTAGTGTAAGTCCCTACACAATGGGGTTTGATTTTCTTTCCAGTTAAGTGATCAAAGTCAAATCCTCAAAGCCTGAATGTCTTACAATAGATTCTAATAAGATTTGAGTTGGCCATTCTTCTTAGTTTTAATCAAAGCAAAAGATGACATTTGCATTTTTGTCATCTTCATTTCAAAGTGTTTGTCATATTATTAGATTCAGAACCACCTTGAATGGTTATACATCAGTAGGATCTGTCTAGCCATTCCCAAAAAGCTGTCCCTGCCAGAACAGGGCTCATTTCTACATAAGTGGTATACCACCTAAATACATAAGCATTAGAATCATATATGTCCAGATTACTTAGAACCAGAATGATGCTGGCAGGAAAATTGGGGTAATATGGAGTTCTCATACAGAGTCACTGACCCATGGTAACTCCCTACCACTATGCAGATTCTTGGGCCCCTTGATGTGCCATGGGTTCCCCCATTGCCTCCTTACATCTCCCCACAACATTTACACACATACAGCCATCAACACCCTTTGCACCATTCTGCCTTTGATCTGCTTCCAAAGTATTCTCCCATTTCCTCAATTAGCTTCATTAACCAGGAGACATGGATGAGTAGAGTCAGGGAACGCAAGTGCTCTCTAGTGGTGTGTGTGTGTGTGTGTGTGTGTGTGTGTGTGTATGTATGAGTGACATATACCTACAAAAACAACAGACTTTTTACATAGCCATCCAGCCGTGCTGACCTTTACCTTGAGAGTGTACTGCTGATCTTTGAGTGACCTAAATCATCATGCTCTGCTTGGGCCCCTGAAGTTAGTACATTATGCACAGCAAATGTGCAGCATTTGCCAACTAAATTGTAGAGTTTGGGCATTCTTGTTTATTATTTATTTGTTTATTTTTTTGCTGAGGAAGATTCTCCCTGAGCTAACATCTGTTGCCAATCTTCCTCTTTTTTTGCTTGAGGAAGATTTGCCCTGAGCTAACATCTGTGCCAATCTTCCTCTATTTTGTATGTGGGTCGCTGCCACAGCATGGCCACTGATGAGTGGTGTAGGTTTGCGCCTGGGAACCAAACTTGGCCACTGGAGTGGAGCACGCTGAACTTAACCACTATGCCACAGGGCCAGCCCTTGGGCATTCTTATTTTTAATAACTTTTTTTTGTAGAAATGGTGAGACTTTGGGCTAGTAAGTTGTTTGTATGATTTCTAATTATGTAAAAGTTTGGAAAGACTTTGCAAGTATATTCCCTTCAAATTATTTAAAAATTAGAAACTCCGGAAAAAAATTTGGGGCAATGTGCCAAAGAATATTTGATTTGAAATAAATAAAATCCATATGCTTCAAGTGCTGTATACAGTCAAAATGAAATTTCTATGTTTGCTATAGATCTGTTCTCATTTTTCTTGGGGTTATTTTATCCAAATGTTTTATTATTGTTGGCAAGATCCAGATCTCAAATCTACCCTTAGTGCTTTGTTTTGTTCATTCTTGGCTTTTGGACCAGAATAATAACCCTTATTATTTTGCCAGAAATTCAGCATTACCACTAATATATTTCTTGACAATTGCACAATATTTTTGGCTGTCATGAAAATTACTTTGCTTAAAATAAGTATATAAAAATATGTGTAGGCACACAATACACAACATATACATACTACATGTTTATGTGTATTCAGGCTAAAAGATGGCTTCTGGCAAAATGTGAAATCCAGTTATTTGTATACTTTGAGAAAAAAGATGAAGCAAAGAACATGTGTTTTAATTTGTTTTCCATTGTCAAGAGGTGGAGGATGGGAAATATTGTAATGGGTAATTTACCCTTATCCTCAAATTATCAACTATCTGGGTCCTGGAGTAACATATTATAAACACTGCCTATGTGTATTTACATAGGAATGTAACACGTGTAATGCTAAGAGTGAATTTGGAAAGAAATGTTTAAAATGACCTCCAACAGATTATCAAGTTATTTTCTTGGTTTTTAATTATTAGTTCAATAGAGAAGTACTGTGGGGAGGCATTTGTATTTTCTTAGAGCAGAAAGTATAAAAATGACTGTAGAATTTCCTGTTTTAACCAAGAACGAAGGAGAGCTATGAGCCATTTGCTTCCTGAGTGGCTGCATTCCAGCTGTGCAGACTGGTCATAGCACATCTGCCAATGAGAACAGGCCTTGGAGGGAAGCCCTCAGATGCTGAGTCTTGTTTACACGCATTGTGACTCTGTTTCTCCCCTCCTCCGGTGTGTCGTACCACTAGGAAGATTTGTGGGGGAATTTGCTATTACATGCAAAACTAGGATCACAGCCACATCAAATGGCATTACGGGCAGACTTTTAGCTCATCTTTAGCCACAGGTAAGAGTTGTTGCTTTGTATATGAGGATAGCTGATCTGCATCCAGTTTCTCGTTTTACTTTGAGACGTTATACTTTACTTTTGCTAGCAAAATTAGCAGGCTAAAAGCTAAAAAGGAATGATTGAAAAAATGATTAAAATGTGCTGTATGTATTGCTAAGACCTGAAATTTTTAGTACTCAATAAGTGAAAAACCATAATATTTTTGTTTAAGGGAGGCACAAAACCAAGTTAAATTAAAACAAAAGTTTTAAAAGCGGCAATAACACTAAGTCACTGTGTAGAGAAATTGGAACCAGAAGCATATTAACATTCTGCATTTTGGAGAGCATTATATCTAAACAAACATTTTTTATTGTGACTGTTCCTACTTGTTAGTCTGTCAGAGAACAGTATCTTCCTGTGTACTAACTCTTTGGTTTAAAAAAAAATTTCTTTTTTATTATAAACCCATTCAGAAAGAATTGATCCTATTCCTTTTCTTCCATAATTCTCTCTAGAAGTTTTAGAGTATGTTTTCATTATCTTTATGCTGCTCCACCGGCAATAAAATTAAGAAAAAAAAAAACAAGAATTCCTGTCTAATCTTTGTTTTGCCATTAAATTCTATCTTGTTAGTGTTAATTTGGAAGATACTTTAAAACCTATATTTTGATAACGTTGCGTAGGATTTTTTTTTTAAGTCATTGCGTAGGACTTTATTGTGGCTTACATATTGCTTTCTGTTAGTTGTTCCATAACACTGAGACCTTTTTGCTTTATTTATTTATTTTTAAGCATGGACTGAAAAAAAATTGTTAGAGTCAAAAAAGACAATTTATAGGTTTTATAGGTCTTTCTCTTATGTATAATAGTCTTCAGGTTATTAACAGCATTTTACAGCAGTCCAAAGAGGCACTTTTGAAAACTTCAAGCAGCCGTGTTCTTGTCTCTTACCCTATAGCAGGATTTCTCAGCCTCAGCACTGTTGACAGTTTGGGTGAGATAATTCTTTGTTATAGGGTGCATTGTAGGATGTTTAGCAGCATCCTTGGTCTCTACCCATTAGTAGCTCCTTCCTCCCCAGTTGTGACAACCAAAAATGTCTCTAGACATTGTGAAATGTCCCCTGGGGTGAAATCACCCTGGTTAAGAACCACTGACCTATATAGCACATGAGACCTAATTATCTGTGAAACATTGAAATCCAACTTCCGAAAAGTTCTGGGTAATAGAGAGTTAAGGATGAGGCTGTACTGGTCTTAGTGTATTTGCAGATGTTGCTGTAGCTGACTGCTCATTTTTTTCCCCTCCCCATCCTGTTAGAAGCTTTTGCCAACCATGATTCATGGAATGATTTTTTTGAGCTGAGTAATTTGTGGTTTTTCAGTTTCCTTACTTTCGTTCCTTAGCTAAATTTGTTTTGGTTTTAGCAAAGTGTTTAAAACAGCAAAGATCTTAGAAAATGGAATAATACATGCAATGATATATTTTCCAAGTACATGATTTTAACAAACCGTAAAGACTTGATCTGCCGGTCTTTCTTTGTATCCTTTCTACCTCCTCTGTTAGACAGATCCTCTCAACTCTGATGGAGAGCTTTATACATGGGAGGACACAGCGACCTTGGAACATCCCTTTGTGAAATCTAATGGTATGGCAGCTGGTATTTAAGAACTTCTCCAGGGCTTCTAAAGAGCATTTTGACATGTAGCTGTCTTCTTTCTTTACAGATTGCAACGAACGAAATAAGCCAGAGCATCGTTCTTCAAGGTATGACTTTATAATATTTAATAATTCTGTATAAAGCTTATTTGGAAAATATTGTTTGGAGGCAGTGCAAGTATCCCTTTTAGAATTACTGTATATTTGAATCTTCTGTGGCATTCAAAGAAACTTCACAAGGGAAATATTGTTCATTCAATGAACAAAAATTCTTTATAAAATTATTGACCACTTGGAAGACATTTTATTTTGAGAATTCCTATCAATAACAGATAAATCTTTACAAAAAATATTTTATCTCCATTTCCTTCCTCTTGTGGTTTATTTTCCTTCCCTTTCTTTAACTGATATTTGTATAAATGTGTATTGATTTTTTCCTAACTATAACTAACATGGGTTCATTGTAGAAGTTTAAAAAATATTTAAAAAAATACAAAGCATTAAAAAACAAAACAAGGGGCCGGCCTGGTGGCGCAGCAAAGTGTGTGAGCTCCACTTTGGAGGTCTGGGGTTCGCAGGTTCTGATCCCAGGCGTGCACTGATGCACTGCTTGTCAAGCCATGCTGTGGCGGCATCCCATGTAAAGTAGAGGAAGATGGCACGGATGTTAGCCCAGGGCCCATCTTGCTCAGCAAAAAGAGGAGGATTGGCATCGGATGTTAGCTCAAGGCTGATCTCCCTCACAAAAAAAAGGAAAAAAAAACAAAACAAAACAGCCTATCTTCCATCAGCTAGAGATGGCTGGCTACTGCTAAAAATTTGTTGTAATTCCTTCTAGATTTTTTATCAGTATGTATGTACTCCAATTGAATTCTGTTTTTTTTTTTATAATTTTATTTATTTACTTTTTTCCCCCCAAAGCCCCAGTAGATAGTTGTATGTCACAGCTGCACATCCTTCTAGTTGCTGTATGTGGGACACTGGCCTCAGCATGGCCGGAGAAACGGTGTGTCGGTGCGCGCCCTGGATCCGAACCCAGGCCGCCAGCAGCAGAGCTCGCGCACTTAACCGCTAAGCCATGGGGCCGGCCCCACAATTGAATTCTTTAAGTTCTTGTTAGATAGTTTCAAATGGCCTGGAAAGTTATATCACTTAAGCCTCTCACCCACACTGTCTGAGAGTGTGTTTCACGAGACCCTCTCCAGCACTGAGGAATATTCTTAAAAATCCTTGTCAAACTTATAGGTGGAAAATTGTGTAATTTCCACTCCTAGGCAAGAATGACAGGCCTGTATTCAGTTTTTTTAACCCAGTTCTGTGAAGCATTGTAATTTTTCTAATATTATTTTCTCCTTATTCCACATTCCATCACTTCTTCTTTGCATTTTGTTTTGTGGGAACTGATAAAATGATAATAATGAATTCATTGGGTTGACTGGCCTGGTAAACCAAACCCTCATACTTTTTCAAGGTATCAAACCCTGGAATGCATTGGCCTCAAATGGATAAAAATATGAAAACTCTGTTAGAATACCAATACATTTTGCAGAAACTGTCAATCAAAATAAGTTAGTGAGACCTAATCTGGGAGAAAAATATAGCTGAGTATTTGAAATGTAAGGCTGATTTTTTTTTCAGGTATAATTCAACTACATTAAAATTCACTCTTTTTGGTGTATGATTCTATGTGTTTTGACAAACACACACAGTTATGTAACCACCATCACAATCATAGAAAAGTTTGTAAGATTGATTTTTTTAATACTTTAAAAAAAAAAGAAAAGAAAAGACAACCTAAGAGAGAGGACTTTGACAGCATGCTTAACTGTGAGTGACATAAAGCTGGAAGGGTAAAAAATACTTGGGATGATAAAATCAGGATGCATAAGACCTTGACATACTGAAGGTTTGACTGAATCAAGCAATATGAGTTTTAGTTGGAACAAATGTAAACCCTTACACTTAAGCCTGAAAGAGCAATGGAACATGAGGAGATAGGGGAGATGTGACTTAACAATATGTTTGAAAAAGTCTTGAAGGATTTAATTCTTCATAGATTTGTCAAGAGTCAAATTTTTATGTCATTGTCACCACCTCCCAAAAAATGTCGGCATTGATTTAATTACATTGAAAGAAGTATAATGTCCAGTATAAGAAAAGTAATAGCTCTAGACCATACTTTTGATATTATATCCAATTCTGGGTTCACTAGGCCTTGAAAAATTGAAGTATGCAGTGACTGGCTATATTCATAGCACTTGGGGAACTATAAAAGAAAAAAAAGAAAGAGTCCCATGCCCCACCCCAGAGATTCTCGTTCAGTAAATGGAGTGAGTGGATCCTGGGAATCTGTTTATTAAAGAAGTCCCCCAGTGATTCTGATGTGTAGCCAGGTTAAGTACCACTGGAATAGAAGACATCAGCTGAGTTGGAACAGGGAATATGAAACAGAAGAGTACAGTAGAAATCAAAACTAAGTCACAGGAAGACTTGTGTGAGGAATTGAGTGAATTTAGCCTAGGTGTGGAAGTTTGGGGAGGTGTATGGGACAGAAATAACTGGAGGGCTGCCATGTAGAAGAGACTAGCAAAATTGTTCCTCATAAATGCTATTCCCCACTAAGAGGAACCAGAGATCCTTCGATGAATGGCTTATTCTAGGTCTGGGGAGGAGGAAAGTACAGGTAAGCTTGGACTCCTGATGTGACAGAAAGGTAGGAAATGCTCAACTAATGAAGTCATGTCAAAAAGGCCTAGGAGGCACCTTCAGGAGGCTCCCACTGGCCAAATACGGGACAATTTGGGTATCAAAAAAATTGTAAATGATAATGGATTCTAACACATTGAATTTAAAAAATCCATGTAGAAGAAATCATAGAATCAGAAAATCATCATTTTGCAATTCTCAGTGTAATAGTTGATTCAGGCAGGGATCATCAATGGCTCCTAAAACTTGTATAAAAAAGTGTTGGAGGAAAGATATTCACACTGCCTTAAAATATGTTTTTAAGTTTTTAATTACAAAAGGGGAAATGTACCTTTTCATGGAGGAGATCTGGTGATCACATTCTTGATCAAATGGTCAATTTATATATTATCACTAGTGAGACAACCTGATAGTATGTGCCTCCAGATGGTGCATTAGCAGTACATGTAGATATCATGTATGTAGTAGTAATCCTTGCAAAAAAGATAATGTCATGAAAAATACAAAAAGGCTAAAAAAATATTATAGATTAAAATATAATGTGAATTTTTTTTAATCTGGAATTTTAAAATCCCAGATTAAAAAAAAAACACTTTGGGGATAATTAAGAAAATTTAAATATAAATTTTATTTTAGATAATATTTTATTAATATTATTTTTTTAGTTGTATAATACAAATGCAGTTATATGGGAGAATATCCTTATTCTTAGGATATATATACCAAACTTTGAGAGGTGATGTAGTCTTATGTTTGCAACATACTCTCAAATGATTCATGAGAAAAAAAGCAGCAAGAGATAAAACCGAAAATATTTGAAATTATTAATAATTGGTGAATAGATGAAAAGTATATGGGTATTAATTGTACTGTTCCTCAACTTTTCTGTAGACTTAAAATTTTCAGAATAAAAAGTAACAGTGGAGGGAACTGTTCTGTGTTTTCCGTGGAGTCCCAGAGGGTAGAATGTACATCTGTGGGTGGACCGTTGAGGGGGGTGGATTTCTGTGCCATGTAAGGAAGGATTTCCTGACATAGCTGGTCAAAGATGGAATGGGCCACTCTGTGAGGGAGCACTGTCAAGGGAAAGCTAGACAGGCTAGTGCTGGGAATAAAATAGAAAAGATTCACGCATGGCTAAATCATACTAGATGGCTCTAACCCCTTGCTCCTTCAATAGCCAATAAATATTGTTGAGAGGCCCTTATCTGGGCTCAGGATACAAGAGAAAACAAGAAAAAGTCCCCGGCACGCTCCCAATCCTGAGAGCCTATTTATTCTAAAGTCAGGATCCAAGTCTTCATAGTTATACTTCATGCAATGCTTGTGGTATTCTTGAGGGTATTCAAAAAGTATTTTATTCTTTAACCTCTAATTTATACTGTCCGGTTCTCAAGGACTGTACTACTAGTTTTGGTAACCCTAGCTCTTAGTATAGTGCCTGGTCCACAATAAGCACTTAATAGGTAAATGTTTCTTGAATGAATGCCAAATGTAGTTTGAAGAGAGAAAGGGAAATGCCGATATTTTTCTCTTGAAAATTGGGAAGAGCCTGGCTCTCAAAACTCACCCACGACTGTTATTGAAGATGTTTGTTACAACAACAGCAAGGAGTAATGCCCTATTGGAAAGGAGAGATGTTTTTCAGGAGAGACCATTGTTTTCTGTCCAGGGTGTCTGCTGAGACTGGCACAGTGACCTCTTCTTCCCCTGCCATCCTCAGCTGCGCAGGCCTACCCCACCAGGCCAGCAGTGCATCAAGCAGATTAATACCTGCTGTGTCAACAAAGCAGAAAGAAGAAAATATAAACAAAAAGTCACTTAATTTTGGTATGTTTGTTGGTTCTCCTCAGGCCCCTCAGCAGCAAGAATGATGTGCTTAAAGCCCAGTTAGGGCAAGACAGATGCATTTCTTTTGTTTGTGTTGTTATAAGGCCAACACTCCTATAGCTTTCACAGTGAGAGGAGAATAAATCTGAGATGTCTGCCTGTTCTTTGATTTCGGTGCTGATATAGGAAGGAAAGCATAACTCTTGTCAAGTTAAAGGAAAAGTTTAATCAGGTATAAGCCAAGACTAAGACCCCGAGGTAAAAAAACAATGCTTATGCATTTTTAAAAGGCTTGCTGGGTGCTTTTTGATTAGTTTGTTTCGATGTTGGCATTTTAAAAATTTGCTTATTGCTGATTGACAATGTGGAAGTCAGAAATGTCTGAATTTTTCTTGTCTTTTCCTTGTTAGTTGAAATACACCATTTCCCAAATTGATGTACCATGGAACATTCTTCTGTAGGATATTAATCAGTATGCAAGAAATAAACATTCATGCACAAAAAAATTTGTGAAATGTGGAGTTAAAACAAAATTACACATATTTTTCTTCACTGTGATTCCACTAAGAGTC